GGTTCATTCCCCCAGGAGCATTGAATGCACCGCCGGTCCATTTCCCCAAAAACATTAAATGCGCATCAGTTTCATCGTTATTTCTCTATAAATAGGGGATTTCTGGAACCAAAGCTTCACTCATTCCTTCTTCAACAATCTTTAGTCTTTTCCCTTCTCTGTATCCTCTTCTGATTTCATATTCTTATGGTTCAAACCTGTGACCACAAGGTCATAAGGCAGCAAGCTTATCAGTTATGCCATGGCTCTTTTTCAAAGCCTTTCCCCTCTAAGTGGAATTATGTTGAGTTGTTGTTGTTGTTGGCTCGAATTGATGAGAGGAAGGCATTAAATTCTTCCTGTATCAGAAGATATGTGGACTGTAAACTGTTGCGCATCTCTCTTAACTTCAACCTGGTGTAACGCTTCATTCCTTTTGCTTTCAATGGAGTGAGGTGGCACTATCTACTAACTTTTGCATCCCACGCCGGTGAAATGTCTCAATAAGTGGCCTCACAATAGTAGTGCTGATGAGACCCATACTCGCCAAGCTTTTGACCAGGCCACAATTTTCTTTGCTTGTCAAAAGCTTTTGCTCTTTGATAGGCTATAGCCTTTTCTTCATCTATCGCTGTTTCGGAGGAGGTTCTCGAAGACAACGCTCTAAAGATCGAAACGAAGTCCCCGAGGAAAAGGTTCTCGAGGATGTTGCTCTTGAGGACATTCCCTCGAAAGTAGATTAGGCCTTTGGCTGTTGTTTTTTGCTTCTTCGTTTCTGTGTAAGGGCCCCTCGTGGGCTTTGTACATCTTTTATTAATATAAGAAATCCTTTATTTTGCCTTCGATTTGTGTAAAATCCAAGTGTATGACTCTAACGATTAGTCCGAATACTGGATCCGGAGCATAATAAACCCTTAGATTTTTAATTGATCAATATGATGCTTCCTAAAGTCCTTTGTTGTCCCTCGGACTGAGCTTGGGTTGATTTGATGCGAACTTAGGTCACCGGGACTTCTGAGTCCGTGTTGAGTGGGAGCTGGGTCTCGATTTTTGAAATAAAGCTAGCCTTTTTAGGCTTCGTTGATAGTCTTTGAGTTAGAATTTTCTCGAAATCAAGTAGCCTTTAGATTCAGCAACCGGGTGACGTTCGCTCGATCATCTGAAAATAAAGATAGCCTTTAGACTTTTACAGATAGTCCTTGAGTGAGAGCTTGCTCGAACTCGGGTAGCCCCTAATTGAGTGAAAATTTGTTGTGACTCGAAATAAAGATAGCCCTAAGGATTTATAGATGGTCCCCGAGTGAGAACTGGCTCGAACTCGGGCAGCCCTTGTGCTCAATAGTCGAGTGAGCGTTCACTCGAACCCGAAATAAAGGTAGCCCCGAGGCTTTATTAATAGTCCCCGAGTGAGAACTGGCACGAACTCGGGTAGCCCTTGGGCTTAATAGTCGAGCGAGTAGTTTGCGCGAACTCGAAATAGAGGTAGCCCCGAGGTTTTATTAATAGTCCCCGAGCGAGAACTGGCTCGAACTCGGGTAGCCCTTGGGCTTAATAGTCGAGCGAGTCGTTTGCTCGAACTCGAAATAGAGATAGCCCTGAGGCTTTATTAATAGTCCCCGAGTGAGAACTGGCTCGAACTCGGGTAGCCCTTGGGCTTAATAGTCGAGTGAGTGTCTGCTCGAACCCGACTCGTAGATTGTTCTCAATAACTTCTGACAATTTGATTCCTGATGCCTGGGCCCTGACGTCAACATCATGACATAAGTGGTTGGAGTGGCTGAAGGGTTGCTTTTTGTACGATTCCCAAAATCATTAATTATAGACGGCCAACAGTCGGCCCTTCGGCTTCCTCAGCACGTTTAAGCGATCTTTATAAATAGACAAATCTCATAAC